CCCCCATCATTTTACTTTAGGGCCCCCACACACCGCTCAGGGGTGGGGGCCGGGGGGGCAATATTTTTTTTATTTATTTTTTAACAGTGAGCAGCCACAGGCCGCTCACTGTTTAATAGACATGTCCCTACTCGCGGTATAGCGAGTAGAGGCAAAATTTATTAATATACAACTTCCCCTGCAATAACACTGCTCAATTCACTGTCATTTAGGAGTTTTCTGTTTATGCACCCCTAGCCTCCCCTGGCTATGATTGACAGAGCCTGCATGAAAAAAAACAAAAAACTGGTTTCACTTTCAAACAGATGTAATTTACCTTAAATAATTGTATCTCAATCTCTAAATTGAACTTGAATCACATACAGGAGGCTCAGGGTCTAGCAAGCTATTAACATAGCAGGGGATAAGAAAATCTTAATTAAACAGAACTTGCAATAAAGAAAACCTAAATAGGGCTCTCTTTACAGGAGGTGTGACTAGGGTTCATAAACAAAGGGATTTAACTTCTAAATGGCAGAGGATTGAGCACTGAGGCTGCAGGGGCATGTTCTATACACCAAAACTACTTCATTAAGCTAAAGTTGTTCAGGTGACTATAGTGTCCCTTTAACTATAACAAAATAACTCAACTTTAATTTTTTTAAACTTTTCACCTCTAACTAGTTTATTCCTACATCCCCCAAATTCCCACTAAATTCCATCCACAGTAACTAAATAAATCACAAATTGATAAAATAAAATATTAAAATGTAACCCCTTAGGGTTTAAAAAAAATAATCTAATTTAACCCCCAAGGGTAAAAAACAAAACAAAATCACAGTAAAGTGCTGTGATCTGAATTTTGGTAACTGCTGGGATTTGGAATCTCTATTGACAATTGAAGATTATGCTAGCGCAGTGTACTAATAATCTTAATTTTAATAATGACAGGAGGCGAGTATTTTGCATTAACTTTCTTTACTAACTCGTTAGCAGCAAAGAAAAAAAATGTTAAAAGAAAGAACCAATCAGAGTGAGTCAGAGAGTATATAAGTCCAAGCATAGCCAATCGTTTCCTCTTGACTAATGCGACATCACAAATTCATAGTATGACAAACGTGTCCGAACCAACTTAATCCAACATGGAAAAACCAGTAAGGAATACAGTCTTCTCCATCAAACATAAGACTTGTTAAATGTCTTCTCAATTATCCATAGGGCTTGTTAAGCTGAAATGAAAGAGAGACTAGTATCAGTGATACAGAGCAGACCGTATGAAGCAAATGCTTATGCGTATACCTATAACTTTTAAATGATTAACTCGACTACCCATAAAATGTTATCGTTCGAATTCACTCCACATTGTTAGAGAACAGTGGGACTGTCTACCATGAATCATTTCACTACATAAGTTGAAATACCGGCATCAAATTTGTCCCCGTTAACCTACTTACCTCAATATGGGTGGGAACGTCAAGAAGAAGGGGAGGGAAAATACACTCACAGGACTTGATTAAAGTGAAAAAAAGTGACTTTTAATTATTCCATGTGAAATGTACAAAAATATCAATCGACGTTTCGACCCTGACGGGTCTTTTTCAAGATCAATAAATACAAATCATGACAGTGTTTATATACAAAATATGCCATAAAGCACTTACCAAGTGCTCTGCCCGTTACTACCCGGAAGTGAATAGAGGCCGGCTGTGACGTCACACAGTTCAGACGCACGCCGGAGTAAAGTGGTTACCATAGTGATAATGCAAACACCCTATCGGTCGGGTGCATGGTGTACAGTCTGATTGTAATGTGCTTCAGTTAATTTCTTATTTGATAAATTGAAAACTACGGACGTCTTTTCTGTGATGGAGGTTTTCCGGTTGTAGTGGCATGCCTGGTGACCTACATTTAAATTTATTTGTATTGACCATGTCCCTCCGTTGGAACGAGGTGGCGATCGTTCCAAAATTCTCTTACAACGGGAGGCCTACTGGATACATTATTTAGATACAGTAACTCCCAAAGGCTTAAATGAAAATATTGTATACTCTATGTTTTTGTAAATTGTTTATGCTGGTTCTGTTAGAATAGCTGTTCCTTTAAATAGAGCCTCTAGTTTTAAACTCGATCTTGTATGCTTTATTGAAGAATTAGTATAGTTTATAGTTTTTGTTTTAGTTTCCATTCTTGTTGTTATCTTCACTCTTTTTATTTCAACAGCATAGGATAATGTCTTTTGCGATATAGTCACTGCTCTCATGTTGGCTTTGAACGAATTAGGATCTTGTTTACCAATGGCTCTTAATGCATACAAACTATGATTTCCTTTATTAAGGGGAGTGCTTTATTTTTTCCATTTTCGATACATTGTGTGAACACGTTTTTGTCCCAACAGACATTACAGTCTGCTTCATATATTCATTAGTGATTATCTAGTTGGTCTGATACTTTTAGATTCACTTTAGATTCTAAGTACTAATTTTGTGGTGATGTTCACCCCTGCTCTAGGCAAGTTTTCTTTCTATTTACTTCTCCCCTTTTTTTGGAGAACTTTTTGTATAAGGGTTTTATTATTATTTTGGGAAGCAAACAGTGTGTTTTCTATTTAACAGTTTGTCGTTATCTATGCCATTCCTCCCTTTTTGGGCTGTGCTCAGCTTGCATTTATGTAACCTAATACATTTGAATGTTTTATGATCTTTTGTATTTAGTTGTTCAGTAACCTTAGAAATACAACGTATTAATTACGTGACCTTGCTATGTTTATAACAACCAGTGTTTTGATACAGTCTAACACTGCTTTTCACACTTTCTTTTTACCACTTTGCGCGGCACAGATATTCACTGTATATTATGAGCACCGGTTTCACTGTCTTATTGAGCACTCACTTTTTTCTGTTTCTCTAAACATAATTCTTAAATAATTCTCCTCCATGCTATCTAGCTTGCACCCGACCGATAGGGTGTTTGCATTATCACTATGGTAACCACTTTACTCCGGCGTGCGTCTGAACTGTGTGACGTCACGGCCGGCCTCTATTCACTTCCGGGTAGTAACGGGCAGAGACACTTGACTTCACATCTCCACTTGGTAAGTGCTTTATGGCATATTTTGTATATAAACACTGTCATGATTTGTATTTATTGATCTTGAAAAAGAAACGTCGATTGATTTTTTTTTGTACATTTCACATGGAATATTTAAAAGTCACTTTTTTTCACTTTAATCAAGTCCTGTGGGTGCATCCTGATTTTTGATTTCTGCATATTTTTAGCGTATAGGATATAGCACCCAGGCCATTAGTCCTTATTTACCATTTAAAGGAGAGTGCCAAGCATCCAGTTTGTTGTTTTTTTTTATATATATATATATATATATATATATTTATTTATATATATATATATATATATATATATATATATATATATATATATATATATATATATATGTGTGTGAAGTGAGGGGGGGCCGTGTGGGGAAGACTTAGACAGGCCGGTGGCCGTATAATATTTATCGCCCAATGGCGTGAGAAAAAACAGACTCTGTAATACCGGGGCTCACCCAGTAGGTCGGAACTGCTTGAACAGCTTCAGTTAGGCAGCACTTATGGAAATTTCCCAAATGGGGGCTCACCCCTTGCCAGGCTACTAGGTTAAACCTAACTGGCAGTCCCACTCCCCAGGGTAATAACAGCCACCTGTGTAGAATCCAAATCCGGTTTCACCTCCTTCAGAATCCTCCTCAAAACGAGAGCCTTGAGTTGTTGTGAGTTGTACTCCTATTAAACTGCACCAACAAAATGGCCGCTGCGGGTCTCACGAGAGACCCTGGGCGGTTGACAGGAAAAGCCTGTGAAAGCGGATTAATGATAAGTGAGGCGTTTGGCAGAAAACTCACGAACGGCCGTTCGTTCAGTGAACCAAATAGCCGAACGGCCGTTGTGGGAAATCCACGAACGGACTGGACCTTGCGAACCCAGTCCTTTCGTGAAAATCTGTGCAAGCGGTAAGTTTCAATTAGCCGCCTGTTCGTGCAGAAAAAAGCACGAAACTGTGAGCAACCGCTCTGTTTGCGCAATTACTAGAGCGAACAGTGGGAAAGAGCCGAACGCAGGGTGCTGCGTCCTTTCGTACCGAAATGCACGAACCCAAAAGGGAGCCCCTTCTGTTCGCACAGTAATGATGGCACGAACAGGGCGTTGAAACAGTCAGCAAAGTGGCGAACATAGCCACTCGAGGAGGGAGGGCGGGGGGAGAGGGATGAGCGATGCCCTCTCAGAACGGGTCTGAGGGGATAACCTCTTCAATGGCAACCGTTGAAGGTGACACAGCAATGAATGGATTTCCCTGCCACCCCCAGTAAATAGATAGCAAGTAAAGCAATCTAGAATAAGATCCTAACTTGTATATAAAATTACAGATAAGAAATCAGTACTCTGACCTGACTTGTAATGGAGCAGCAAAGAAAGAGGAAATGATTGGCTATGCTTGGACTTATATACTCTCTGACTCACACTGATTGGTTCTTTCTTTTATCAGTTTTTTCTTTGCTGCTATGGAGTTAGTAAAGAAAGTTAATGCAAAATACGAAGCCTCCTGTCATGTTATAAAATGTATTCTCTTCAGGGACAACGATCCGTCTCTCTCCACTTCACAAACCCAACACAGGTGAAGGGAGGCTGCTCTGATATCCCAGCAACATTGTTACAGCTTTGACTGGCTGTCAGAGCAATCACGTGGGCTGGGACATAGTGATTTGATGTTGCTGGTCTGCCACTGACTCGTAGGCACAAAGCAACATCACCAACCCCGCGATCGCCAGCACTGCAATTGGTCATTAAGGGGTAAAAGAGTCCCCTTTTTAAACCCTTTTATTGCCAAAGGAGTGATGGACACAGTGTTAGGAATTCAGCTTTGTTTCCTTCACGTTTGTTGGCTCTGTGTGTGGTTCAAATGCACCTGGGAAACAGACCATAGTTGCCTAACTTCCTGATCTTTTTTACCTGGGTAGCAGTGCCATCTTAACATTACGGGCCTCGGGCAAAGCAGGGCACTTGGTCCCTGCCTACACAACCACTCACAGGAAAAAATTTAAATTATCTTTAAAATTAAGCTTATATTTATAGGTACCTCCAACAAATGCAATACACATACACACACAGAGAGAGAGATACAGACTGCTGAATAGAGACAGACTGCTAAATGCACACACAGACTGCAGTGAGGGTTGTGTGTTTGTGACAGGAGGATGCATAGGGATAAGAGATTTTATTTTATTTTTTATGTAAAATAAGTTTAAAAAAAGCTTCATGTTTCCCCCCCCCCCATCCTTCTTCTTACCTGGTGGTCTGGTGGCGAGTAGTAGATCATACAGCCTGCAGCTCACTCATACCACAAGCAGAACGCAGCAATGCTCTAACCAACATAACTGTGGTAGGAACTGCCGCCCAGGTCCTCCAAAGAAGGGCCTTTGGGCCACTGAGGGAGATCTTTGATCTCCCCGCCGGCCCAAGAGGGCACAAAGCAAGAGAGCAAGGCCTGGGCAACGCTGTGGGGCCCTCAGGCAAGTGCCCACAGAGCCCATGCTGAAAGACAGCCCTGTTGGATGGGGTACCCTCTCCTCCCCCAAGCTCCTACACCCATGGACTCCCTTCCTTCCATATCACAGTATCTTTTCTGTCCTCAGTCAGACAAGCAGGATTTTCTTTCTACTAAGAAATTGTAATTATTGTTTTTGGCCGCCTCCCATGTATACCAGACAACGTTCAGCCTCTCTTTGTCTGAAGAACCCAGTAAACAGCCTGCAGAACCGTGTTCTGTTCAGTAACATTATCAAACTATGGTGTAGGAATCTTTGGAACTAAAACTTAGGAATTTTATTTAACACTGGAGATTAGTCTTTGGACCTCAGGGTCGGTTTTAGCCTCAAAAAAAAATTTAAAAAAAAAAAATATATATATATATATATTTTTTTTTTAAAAGCCTTTGTTTGTCCCCTTAGTACTGCAAGCCCAAATTAGGCAGACATTTCTATGAAGAAGCAGACATGACTTGCTTTCCAGTAATTCAACGCTTTTTGCTTGTTCTTGTTCAGATCTTCAAGCACTCTATCCCCTCACAACATGGCGATGCAAGACACTTGGCACTTTTGTGCTCTCAGAAAGAGAGCATGCAAGGTAGTGCATGAGCCCCTGAATATATGTTATGCTTGTTCCCAATTTAAAGGGACAGATATCACTTCTTTTGCCGAGGAAATTTAAATTGGATGTGTTTCATTTTCCTAGTAGGTGCCCTTTCAGTACCCAAGTGCTGCACCACTATATTACCTATAGGTGAATAAACTTGTATTTTCCTCCTAATATTTAGAACTACAGTAATGGGAAACAAAGTACACCAACTTCGAATCCTATGCTTTTACATATCATACGTTAAGACCTGCAAAGTACAGGAATACAAACATGGATTCCTGACAGCAAAGTTTTGAAACTGCCGATTAGAACCCCGGCCCTGTTCTCTATACTTTAAAAAGGTCCACATCATTGGCTGAGATCAAACTTGATGGTCTCAACAAATACCAATGCTTGCCCATAGGAAAGCATTGGGAGGATTTTGTGCATGCGCAGCAAAACACCACTCTGCGTATATCAGCATCTCCTCATAGAGATATTAAATCAATTCATCTCTGAGGGACGTTTTTTTTTTGTTTTGTTTTTTAAAGAAAACACAAAAACATGAAGCTGTAGTTGTGCTGGTGACCAAGGCTGTCTTTAACGCAAGGCAAACGTGGCAGCTGCCCCGGGCCCAGTTACTCCTGGGGGACCCAAAGCATCTTCCTCGTTTGCACTCTATCCACAATTTATTTTAGGTTCGCCGATCCCAAAATAAATTGTTGCGGGCAGCAGGCCTGCACACCGAGGGGGCCCAGGGCCCCACATTCACATATTAATTTGGGCTATCAGAGGGTTCGGTGCAGCAAGGGAGCACTGATTCCTCACTGTGCCAAATCCGCCAATAGTCTGAATTATAATGCATCATGAGCTGTGCCGAAACGAAATATGGGGGAGAGAGGGGATTCGCCAGAGCCGGATGCGATAGTCTCTGGCTCTGATCGAGCCCCCTTCCTTGAGCCAGCAGAAAGAATAAAAGATCTCCCTGCCACCAGTTACAAATCGACTCCCTGGTGATCCAGTGTGCTGCTGGGGCTGCCGCACTCCCATGCAGTTCTGGCGCACTGTGAGGTTCTCAGCCTGCGCTCTGACATCATCACAGTGCTCCGGACCCGTGAGGGAGTGCGGCAGCCCCAGCAGCACACTAGACCACCAGGGACCCACTGGACCACCATGAAATTAATTATTGCCTCCCGTGCCTGCACAGAAGGCAAGCAGGAGGGGGACAAAGCAAAATATATTAAATGTATTTCAAGTCTGTGTTTTCCCCTCACTCTGTCACACTAACCCACTAAACCCTGTCTCACTAACCCCCCTAACC